CACGAGCAAAGGCCAGGCATCCACCCACAACAATAAGTGCATCAACATAATAGTATTGATAGGCGCGAGCTTACTTCATCTTCCCTATGCAACGCCTCTCCTCTGCCCAACTCAAACGAGCTATGGCACGGGCGAAATGCTCACACCTCTTCCTGGAAGAGCAGTTCCCCCGACTGGTTCCACTTGCTCGGGTTCAGGATGGTCCTGCGGAGGTCTCCCATCTTGGCGGGCTGAGCTGCGTAGTTCACCTGAGCGGATGGATGCCATGCGCGTTGTCATGACATGGAAATACTTGAGGTGTCAAGTCCTGCGTTTCTTGGGTTCTACTCGGATCTTTTGAGCCAAACGTCAGCCAAGTGTCCTTGTATGATGAATACAGTACTGTAGTTCTCGACAGGGGCGGGGGAGTTTCGCTGTCCTTGCAAATATCACATCAGTATTGTAGACGCGGGCATGGCACAAACGAGAGGGTGCTGGTGTGCCGGGTGATGAAGGATCGTTACATACAGACGCATGCCGGTCGCCCCGGTGGTCTAGTTGGTATCCCCGAAACCTTCTAGAGGTCAGGTCAGGCGTTCGAATCCCGGCGTAAGCGAGCTTTTCTTGCAAAGTGAGTTTTTCTCTCGCTTCTGCTCCTGGTCTAGTGGATAGCGCTAGTTCGTGTGTACACAGAGGGAAGAGATTGCTGAGCTCTTCTCGCATTAAAAATCGAAGGCAAAGTACCGCAGGAGGGGAGGGTAGAGAGGGGCTCTTCTGTGCGACCACGGGTTGGAGTAAACGGCACTAGTGCTGTGAGCGCTGATGTGAAGTGAAGAAAACAAAAACAAAAACAAAACAAAAAAACAAATTGTGTTGCTTCAGTGTTTCATGCGATTGTCTTTGAGGATGTTGGCGAAGCGAATTTTGGTAGAAACAGAACGGGCGTGCCGAAGACATTCATTGCCTCCTACAGCAGTACTGTGCGTGGGTCTTCTACAGAGAGAGTCCATGTGGCACAGACAGTTGGGAAGGCAGGTGGCGTGAACACAAGGTGCTAGAAGTGTGCCGCCGACCCGCCCCCTTGCCCCTAATAATGGTCCATGTTTCAAGGGCAGACCTGCAAAGGATGATAAGTATACATTTAGATCTTGATCGGGAGCAGGCGCATCGAAGCACGAGGCACAAATCAAGACGTGTGGCCGACAGACACTCGTCGACAAAGGGCGTGGACAACTCTCTCCCCTCATCGGCGACCACAATAGACTACTGGTATGTAGCCGCTTTGGTAGGGGACGATGCACCGGGAAGCGGTGCCTCTGCAACAGAACACCGAAAACGTGGAGATCTCCCAAACGACGGGGATTTGACAGCTATGGCTGTAGGTTGTGCGACTCACGTGCAGGTCGAGCACGACGGTGCTAGCATCCTCGAACCGCTCCTTGTCGATACCAGTTCCCGTTGCTTCGAACTTCTGCTTCAGGTAGGCGGCGTTCTGGACGGCTGAGTGGAAGCTCGGGTGCTTGGGGGTGAAGCCATGCGTAGCCAGAGCCTGGAAGAATCGAGGGTGGAAGAGGGCCGGAAACGTGAAGATGAAAACATCGAAGCGTACCCTCTCCACCAACGAACCTGCAACAAAACTTCGTAGTGGACGGCGGTCAGAGCTAGCACTAATGCTGTTAACTTTGGTTCAAAGCAGCAGCGGAAGGAGAAACAACAACAACAACAACAACAACAACAACAACAACAACAACAATATCTACGAGCAACAATATTCGACGAGCACGCCCGTCGTTTCTCTCGCCTTGCCACTGAACCGCGACCCCTCCTCGACGAAGAGGACCTGAAGCATCATCACTCCCAACGAGAAGGTGTCGAGGGAGGGCTGCAGCATCGCCCTCTGAGGAATCTCTCGGCGCAAGAACACCGCAACGGCCTCCGGTGCGGCGTACTGCTTGGAGAGCCCACAGATGGGCTCTCCGCTCGAGCCTGAGCAAACACACGGAAAAACATCGTGTCAACTGTTTAACCTCCGCCGTTTTGGTGGTGGTGGTGGTGGTGATGACAGCAGTACAATGTCAACAATGTCACAACATCATTACAAAG